GAGAGAGATAACTTTGAGGTCCAGCCTTCAGGGTACCAACTGTCAAAGAAGAAAAAGTCAGAAAGTAAGGAATAAGAAAATGCAAGGGGGAAAGAAGACAAATTACTGAAGATCTCGGGAGGAAGGAAACTCAGTTCAAAACTTTGAGCACAAGGAGATAATTCATCAGGGAAGATATTAAAACAGAAGCAAAGATGCCCTCCAGGATATCTAAATGAATCCAAACATCTCTGAATAAATATTTCAAGACACATGGAAAGGAATCAATATCTGATAAGAAATAGGAACCTATGTCTTCCCAAAAATCATGGAACCATAGCAGTATTTTATGAAATGGTTCAAGAGAAAAACAAAAAAAGTGGAAGTAGATTTTATGGCTTATACAGAAAAAAAGACAACAAAAATCCACCTTGAGACTTTCCAAAGAATATAATGGTTTGGGAATACAAATATACAGAAGTGAAGAACAATCTTGAAGAAGAAAAACAGAAAAGCAATAATCCTTTTAAAAAATGCCCCTGATCTCTGTACAAGCAAAATACTATGTCTTAAAGACAGCTTGCATAAAGATAAGAGTTATGTGAAAGAAAATTATAATGATGAAACAATATACTAAAATTTCTAGGATGCAGCCAGAACAGTATAGAAGTAGAGGGTGAGGAATTAGATCCCTAAAAATATACTCTATCAAATTTGAAAAGGAGAGAATTAATGACATGAATATTCACTTTAAAAATTAAAAATATAATAAATATCCCAATATAAGGACAAAAGAGGAGATATGGAAAATTAAAGGAAAAATAGATAAGTTGGAAACAAAATATTAGAGAAAGAATAAACAAAACTAAAAGCTATTTTTAAAAGACTAACAAAATTGATAAATCTTTAATAAATCTGATTTTAAAAGAAGAGGGCAGAAAACCAAATCAACAAAATAACAAAGGAACAAAGTGAAATCATAATTGAAGATATAAAACTAATCTTGAGAACCTATAATGCACATATATAAGCTAGCAAAATGAGAAGACAAAAGAAAAAGATTAATACCTTCAAACATATAAAATACTCAAATTAACAGAAGACCAAATAGAGTTCTTAAATAGCTCAGTCTCAGAAAAGGAAGAAAGAAAAAAAAAACTTCCTGATTTTGACAGATTTACAGAGGAATTCTATCAAACCTTTAAAGAATTAGTATCGATATTGCAAAAATAATTCTCAAAAATTGAAAACAAACCACTTAGACTCCTTTTATGATGTAAATATAGTCAAACCAACAAAAGATAAAGCAAAGAACTATAGACTACTATTATTGAGGAATACCAAATTAAAATGTTAAATAAAATCCTATCAAAAAGACTATTATAACCCACTTTTAGGGGGTGTGATGTGGATGATAAGTTATTGAAGGAGACCAAGAAACTCAACAGTTAGCTAATGTAATAGTAGATAGGTAATGTAATAATAAAGCAATACATAAATAATGTATATAAATAATGTTTATAAATATAAACACATATATGTAAGCAATATTTATAACCATCAATCAATAAACATTTATAAAGCAAAAAAAAAAAAGATTATTGCAATTCATCTAGGAAACCATGCTTTATGAACAAGATGAATTTATATCAGGGATTCAAGTATGATTTAACATTAGGGAAATAATCACCATAATTAATCATATTAAAAGCCAAAAACATCCAAGACCACATGATTATGAAAAAGACTTTGACAAAGCGTAAGATTTATTTATACTAAAATCTATACAAAATATAGACATAGAGGGACCTTTTCAATATCATAGCAAGGATCCATCTAAAACCAAAAGTGAGAATAATATACGATGGGTATATACTAGAAGATTTCCCAATAGATACAGTGATAAAGCAAGAATGCCCGCTCTTCCTGCTATTATTTTATATTAGAAATGCTAGCAAAAGCAGTAAGATAAGGAAAAGAAAATACAAGTGTGAAAACATTCAAAGAAGAGACAAAACAATCCCTATTTGCTATAATATGTTGTTTTATTTGGAAAATACTAGGGAATCTGCAAAGATATTAGGACAATTAATAGCTTCAGCAAATTTGTAGGCTACAAAATAAATCATCAAAAATCAATATGATTTCTATATAATACTGACAAAATCTAAAAGACAACAATAATGTAAAGAGAGATCCCATTCGAAGTAACTACAACACACATAAGACGTTTAGGGATCTATCTATAAAATGTACAAAATATTGCATAGATTCAATTATAAAGTTTTCCTTAATGAAAAAAGAAAGGCCAACTTAAATAATTGGATGTTCATATGGATGTGTTCATTACTATGATATGTTAATATAACAAAAATGACAATACTATCAAAGTTTAATTATAGTTTTAATGTGTTGCCAATTAAACTACCAAATGGATATTTTAAAGAATTTGATAGAATAGTAACAAAATTCATTTGGAGTAATATAATATCTAAAATATTAAGAGAAATAATGAAAAAGGAAATGTTGCAGTCTGAGAGGTTCAGAGACACCTCAAGGACTGGAGTACAGGACAGGGTCATCTGGAATGAATTCACAGACTCAAGCATTCTTTAAGTCAAGTTGGCAAAGATTTATTATTATGCTTTTCAGTGGGCAAGGCTTCTCAAGGAACCTGTGAGAGACTAAGGATGGTACTAGGGTTTATATGGAAAAGGGCCATGGGAAAGGTATGCCAGGGATACTAATTAGGTGATCTAAAGGTCCAGGTGTCTTTGGGAGCTATGGATGGGAAAGTGTAGGGAGTATATCAGACATTGAGGTAGTTGTCAGAGGCATGGACCTTGGGGTTCTAGAGGGAGGGAGTCTTTGGGTCAGCCAGAGACAAAAATCCTTGGGCCAGGCACCCCTCTCTCTGTCCTGATAAGAGAATGTGTTCTGCAACAAGAGAAAATTTTCTCACAAGACAGGAGCCTACTAAGAAATTGGGGGGGAGGGAGCAGCTAGGTGGCGCAGTGGATAAAACTCCAGCCTTGGAGTCAGGAGGACCTGAGTTCAAAATCGGCTTCAGACACTTGACACTTACTAGATGTGTGACCTTGAGCAAGTCACTTAACCCCAATTGCCTAAAAAAGAAAAAAAAAAGAAAAGAAATTGGGAGGCTTCCAGAGACATGATCTTATGCGCTGGGACCTGAGTAGCCCATTACTCTCTCACCCAGCTTTGTGTAACTGCACCAGGGAGAGAGATTAAGTGTCTTGCTGGGGCCCACTCATGAGTAATTGCTAGGCACAGTGTCCTTGGGCTGGGGGGAAACTGCCAGATACAGTGTTTCTGAGGCTAGGGAGAAATTGAGGTCCAAGCACAGGCACCCAAGCACCCCATCAGCAAGAATGGAGGAAGAGCCTTCCAGATCTCAAAGTATATCAAAAGCTGTATCCATAAAAACCTTTTGGTATTGGTTTAAAAAAAGAGTGGATCAATGTAATGTAATAGAGTAGACAAGGGAGAACCACAAACAATGGAACTCAACAATCTGGTGTTTGATAAACCCCAAAAGAAAAATTGCTTAGGAAAAAACTATTTTGACCAAAACCTTATACCATAATCTACAATAAGTTGAAAATGGATATGTGACCTTAATAAAAAAAATCATAACATAAAAAATGAAAGAGAAGCAAATCATAAACCTTTCACAGCTATGGATAGGAAATATATTCTTAAAAGTAGAGTGTAAAAGAAAAAAAGAAAATAGATCATTTTGACTACAAGAAATTGAAAAGCTTCTGCAAAAACAATATATAAATATATATCAATATATGTGTATATATGTAACTATATACATATATAAAGATATATGACTTTTGACCATGCATACACAACACAAAACATACACACACACACATAAATACATGTGTGTGTGTATGTGTATGTATATTTATATACATATATTTATAATAGTACAGCTACGTAGTGCAACCACATGAAAAAATGCTCCAAATCACTAATAATAAAAGAAATGTAAATCAAAATAACCCTGAGGTTTTACCTCACACCCAGTCAGTTGGCAAAGATAACAAAAGAGAGAAATACTCAATGTTGAAGAGGTTATAGGTACACTCCTGCCTTGCTGGTGGCGCCATGAATCAGTGCAACCATTTTGGAAAGCAGTTAGGAATTATGCAAATGAAGTGACTATACTGTCCATACTCTTTCATCCTGAGATTCCACTACTAAGCATGTATCCCAAAGAGATCACTGATAAGAGAAAAATCCCTGCACATATATACACTAAAATATCCATAGCAGTACTTTTTTTTTTTTTTTGAGGCAATTGGGGTTAAGTGATTTGCCCAGAGCCACAGAACTAGGGAGTGTTATGAGTCTGAGGCCGGATTTGAACTCAGGTCCTCCTGACTCCAGGACCAGTGCTCTATCCACTGCACCACCTAGCTGCCCCTCTAGCAGTACTTCTTGTAATATCAAGGAACTGGAAACAAGGTAGATACCCATCAATTAGGGAATGACTGAACAAATTTTGACATGCAAATGGAATGAAATGTTACTATGCTATAAGAAATGACAAACACAATGAATAAAGTAAAATATGGAAAGACTTAAATGAACTGATGCAGAGTAAAGTTAGCATAACCAAGAAAACATGATACCAAAGAAGAGATATAAGAAGACACCCTCAACCCATTCTTTTGCGGTGGTGATAGGTTAATGTGTGTGGAACACTGTGTTTCCCCCACCACCACTACCGCTTTTTCAATGTATTGGTCAATTTTGCTTATTTTTCCCCTTCTTCCTCCTTTTTCTTTAAAAAAAAATTTAGTTATAACATATGAGTCTCTGACGGATAAGAGAGGAAAGTATGCTAGGAGAAATTTTAAAACAATATGTAAAAAGAACATAAAAAGAAATACTTATTTTTAAAAAACAGCAACAAGCAAACAAAAAAAGAAATAAGAATTCTCCCAGATTACTGAAGGCATGCATGAATATGCACAAAATCTCACCATAAAGACTGAGGCAGGTTTTTCCTGAGACTGTTCCAACACCAAAGATGTTAAAGATGCATAAATAGCATCCCTCATCCTCAACTGCAGTTCTCAAGAAGGTGATGGTTGATTCACTGAGCCCTGGCTGAGTCATTTCTATTTTATTCTTGTAAGCTGATTGGATAACTACTCCATGTTGTTTGCTGAAAGTTGCCATGTTTTCTGGTCCTTTGTTAATGAGTTTCTGCCATGTGACAATCACAACCTCTTGAACAGTCTGCAGAGAACATTTTAAGGACGCAGGTCTCTCCAGCATCACTGTCTCATCCTCAGTGACCACATTTCCTGCAGAATCAGAAGAATTTGTTTTTCTTTTTATTATGAGACCATTATCACCTTGATTCACAGTTACTTCTGTGAATCTTTCTCTATAAATGGGTGCCTGGAGGAGATCTTCTATTCCTATAGCCCTTTTATGTTCCAAAATTGCTTCAAGTTAATAGATTTTTTTTCTTAATTGAAAAAAATTAGAAAGAGAAAAAAAAATCTAACCTCTTCCATCTCCTACACCCCCAATTCTGAATCTATAACTTTGGTAGCAAATAGCACCATAGCACTAAATGAAACAGCAAATAAAACAGAATGGAAACCTTAGGCTAAAAGAATCTTAGGTCCCAAAGTTCATGTTCGCAGTTCATCTAGCCTACTATACGATTTTAGAATTATGACCCTAAATCTCAACCTCTGGCTACTGCAATCTAAACCATTTTCTCAAGTTTTATCCACAAAGGAGACAATATTCACAGTTCCACTTTGGTACAATGCACTCTCCATATATTATCTCATTTGATCCTTTAACAACTTTGTGAGGTAAATGCTATTATTATCCCCAGACAGAGAAAATGAGGTTCAGAGAGGTGACTTTCTTAGAATCACAAAGCTAGCAAATGTCTGAGGGAGGATTTGAACCCAAGTCTTCCTTTCCTTGAGGTCCAACATTCTATCCACTAGGTGATACTACTTCTCTGATGTAGAATAGTTCATGATCATGATTTGTGCTCAGGTCCTTGAAAACCACATGCTGCCCTTCAATCTCCTATCCTCCAGGAATAAGGAAACGGAATTCATTTCATCTTTCAATCTTGACATTGTTTTCTGTCTATTCCATTTGGATTATTTGAAAATTCATTAAGAGTGTTCCTGTTCCAATATTCATGTAAATAAATGAATCATAGCAACCAACTTCAAATATTTGAAGGATTCACACACAGAAAAGGGGTTTACCTGTTCTGAGCAGCTCCAGGAAAGACTGATCACTGGAATTAGGTATAGCAGATCAAAGTTCTTTTGATCAATTTAAAGACAAAAATTTCTAATTTCTAACAATTAGGGATCCCTAAGGTGTAATATACTCTCCTGATGTCAGTGTTCAAGGAGAAGACAGATGCCTAGTAGTCAGGGATACTATAAAGAAAGATTGTGAGAGTTTAGATGAGCTGAACTCTAAATTCCTTTCAAGTTCTCCCGTTCCTTGTCTCAGAATAAGAAAGGAAATAAGCATTCATTAAGCATCTCCTATGCACCTTGCACTTAGTAGGGCATTACAGATATTATCTCCTTTAATCTTCACAACAACCATGGAAGGTAGATCTTATTATGATCCTCATATTACAGATGAGGAAACTGGGGCAGACAGAGGTTAACTGACTTGCCCAGCATCATCCAGCTAGTAAGTGTCTGAGGCTGGATCTGAAGTTAAGTCTTCTTGACTCTGGGCACAGGTGGCACAGTGGATAGAATGCCAGGCCTGGAGTCAGGAAAACCTGAGTTCAAACCCAGCCTGAGACATGTACTAGCTGTGGGATGCTGGGTAAGTCACTTGACCCTATTTGTCTCAATTTCCTCAGCTGTAAAATGAGCCAGAGAAAGAAAAAGCAAACCACTCCAGTATCTTTGCCAAGAAAACCCCAAATGGGGTCACAAAGAGTCAGACAGAACTGAAATGCCTGACCACAAGTTCCTGACTCCAGGCCCAGCATTCTCTCTTCTGTGCCACCTAACTGCCTAAATATAACAGTTGAGGAATTATATTGAATTGAATTGACTCTAAAAGTTCTAGAGCTCTACATCACTGATGAAAACATAAAATTATTCCATATCTTTGAGTAATGAAGTATTGTGGCTCTATCACTAACTAGCTGAATGATGTTGGGCAAGTCACCTAATTTCTCTGAGCCCTTTTATCTATAAAATGAGAGGGGTGGTCTCTATGATTTCTAAGTTTCCCTACAGTTCTAATGCTCTGAATCTATAACTGACCTAGGGGCTATCACCAGTTGTCCTGAGCTATGTCTTGCCACTGGATTCCAATGACCCTGAAGGAGAGAGTGAGGCTGGTTACTTTGCACAGCCCTACCTCACTTAAATCCAATTCACTCACAAGTCAAGACATCACCCTCCTGATGTCCTTGGTCCTCCTCAAGAATGAAGGATGAACAACAATAATAACTAAACCGCTAGGAGTTATAATTTTCTAGTATCATTCCCTTCCCAGTATAAATCTGAACCAACAGTAACTTTTAAATATTTTTCCTCTTCTCTGTCTAACAACTGAAATAATCTGTGCTCACTTTCAATCCATTTTCTCCTGTCCTATCTTCAGTGAATTTGGACAAAGATTTGAAGACTGCTATTGTCTTTGTTTGTATTATCTTCCAATCCAAGTTGTCCTATATCCTTTCCCTCTCCTGTGAATCTTCTAGAAATTCTCCACATTTCTCATAAACCTTGAAGTCAGGTTCCCCTAAAACAAGGTCAAGTCAAGGTCTACATTGTACGTTAATTTAACCACCAACACACCATGTACCAAACAGCAGAGTGGCTCATTGAGTTGGGTCTATTCACTTGATTAGTTATCCACTAAGTCATACTATTTGTGGCCCAGGTCTATCACTTATCTTAATGATGTTACTGGATTTGCCATTTGGCAATCCAATCTATTGCTCAGTTGTCAAGGACTATGACAATCAAAAACAAAAATTCTTCTCAAAAACATTCCAGTTGGTGAGCCACATAGACGCAGTCTACAATATATAACACAAAACCTAGCTGCCTTGTCTCAATACTGATATTTCCTAAAAACAGTAGGGGTACGTCTTTACCTTGTGCCCAGCACTGCATCACAAGAGTCATGCCCCAAATCAGACTGCATGTGAAACTATGAGAGAAGAATTTCTCATGCACCTAGAGATAAAAAAGAAAATTCCGATGAAGCTTTGAGTTTCAGCAAAATCACAATATTCTGCTTATGCTAGGAATCACTTCAGGGAATGTTACAGACATCAGGTACTGACTAGTTTGCCACAGAACGCTGTTTGATTTTTGTGGCCAACGAACTTCCACAGCCAAACGCACTAATTTCAAAAAAAAGCCTGCTCTGGAAAGGTGAGGAAAGGTGAGGAAGGGTGAGGGACCAAGCAGAGAGCAGTCAGTGCCTATTTGTGAATGGCACACTATCCTCAGAAAATTTCATACTATTTTCAAATCTTGTTTTTTTCTTTTTTTTACCAGAAGTCTGAGAGGCTGCTGTTGGAGAGTAACTTAGTAGCAACCCCAAAACCCCACCCTCAAAGCACCCTTGAGACGGACAAGCCCAGAAGGCAATTAAGGACCTGTATAAAAGCTGTAATATCAGTAATGTGTGACCGCTTTTCTTATCTCCTTTGCCACATTCGCAAGCAGACTATTAAAGCTGCAAAAGGATCTGAAAGTTATCTAGCCCAACCCCCTCCTTTTACAAACATGAAACTGAAGGCCAGAAAAGTGGAATGAACTGCACATAGTTAGGAGCATTATCTCAGGAAGACTTATCTTCCTGAGTTCAAATCTGGCTTCTGACACTAGCTGTGTGACTCTGAGCAAGTCACTTAACTCCAATTGCCTCAGCTCCTTCATGTATAAAATGATCTGGAGAAGGAAATGGAAACGCACTCCAGCATCTTTGCCAAGAAAACCCTAAAAGAGGTCATGACTAAAACGACTGTTTTTAGCCCTGTTGTTTCCTTTCATCCCCACTGTCACTCTCTAGGTCAAGACTTTATCACTTCAATTGAATGATTCAATTAAACAAATATTTATTAGGCACCCAATGTATTCATAGTGTAATGCAAAGAGCACCAGATTTGGACTTAGAAGACATGGATTCAGATCCCTGCTACTTACTACCCATTCATTTAACCTCTGTAGATGTCAACTTCCTCATCTAAAAATGAAAGCAATGGATTAGATAACTGCTAAGATCCAGGTGTAGGGCATATTATACTGTGACTGCCATGATTTGTTCATAATGCCTGATTTCTGGGGTCTATGATCCCTCCTTTAATGTATAAGAATATAATTTTCCTTTTTAGGATTTTGTTACTGGATATACTATTCTTCCCCACTCTTCGGATTGTAAATAAATGAATATGCAAAAATATTTATACATAGTTATTTTCACTAATACAGCTGTTATTCCCATTGCTCTGTTAGGATTTTTCTGTATTAGGAGGTTATTGATTCTGTAAGACTTTGAGTTAGCATTTTCACTGTAGAATCTCAACATAAAAAAACCTTCTATGAGACCTTAGATCCTTCACTTGAGAAAATAACCCAGGCTATTTTCTGGTAAGTGCCAGATAATTGAAGAGACAGAACTGCCAGGGAAGATTTACATCCACATCTCTTGGCTCTTTTCTTCTAAGTATTAATAGTCCCTTGTTTTGTTTTCTTTTTCACTTTAACCGACAAAACTAGCTATGAAAGTCTTCTCTTTTCCCAATGAGAATCCCAAAGATAAAATGTCCATCTGATTTGGGCTGGGCTCATGGCACCTGGCATTATATGTATTATCCTCCCTCCCTAACTTTCCTGTTAGCTAACTCTGGGTAAATCAGAAAACATTCTGTTCATACTGCCATCCCCTTCAACCAATTACTGAGCTCAAAAATCCCAAAGCAGAGATCACAGTTAACACCTTCTTCTCCATCTGTCCTTATCTTGAACCACACTCACCTCCCCCAAAGAAATTAGTAACCTTAACACATCTAAGATGAGACTTTTTTTATTAAAAAAAAAAAGGAGGAAAGCTGGGGAGCACTCTTTTTTTTCCTTGGCTAGGCAATGGGGTTAAGTGACTTGCCCAGGGTCACACAGCTAGTAAGTGTCAAGTGTCTGAGGCTGGATTTGGACTCAGGTCCTCCTGACTCCAGGGCCAGTGCTCTTTCCACTGTGCCACCTAGCTGTCCCCAATAGGGTATGGGAAGCACTCTTTAAAGCTGCCATACCACCATCCCAATTCAGACACAGATTTGGATGTCCTTAAAAATCTCAAAAAACACATGAAGTAGATGTCGCTGAGGGATTATTTCAAGCTGATGTGTCCTTCATAATCTCCAACACCATCCATCAGCCATGAAGGACAGAGTGATGCAGATGATGTCAAGTCTTCACCAGTGTCAGTGTCTTCCCACAGCAGAGACAAAAGTCGCAGCAACCTTTACCTTGGTTTTTGAAGGGTGGCCAAAGTGCAGAGGCTTACAGCAGTATAGTATACTATACAACACCCTCACACCACTATCTGATACAGTAAGAGGTAAAATTCAGGTTAAAAAATGTTTTAGTTTTAAGAATTTTGTTTGTCGGGGGCAGCTAGGTGGTACAATGGATAGAGCACTGGCTCTGGAGTCAGGAGGACCTGAGCTCAAATCTGACCTCAGACATATAACAGTCACTAGCTGTGTTACTCAGGGCCTCACCAAAAAAAAAAAAATATATATATATATATATATATATATATATATATACACACATATATATTTAAAATGAGCTTCTCTTAAAAAAAAGAATTTTGTTTGTCATAAAATATGGTACTGTAGATTTCATGTGTTATGAAAAGTGAAAATTGTCTGAAATCAATGTATTTTTTTATTGAGATGTTAGCACAAAAGGGCACAGAATTCTAGGGAATTGCTAGTGAGAAAAATGTTCTGCATGTCACCCGTTTTATTTTGTGTACTGCATTTTATGGGTTATACTATGTTACAGGAAAAGTGCATATCATCAGAATTAATGTTTTGTCATAAAGGATTGTATGCAGAAAAGTGTATTTTCAGCAATCTTTAGTGAAATATTACAGTTTTTGGTGGCCACAGGAACCAAACCCCTATTTCTCAAGGGTTCAATGCATCAACATTCATGTTTTTGACTTTCGCCCCATTTTCTAAGGATGTTACCCTAATGAAAGCTGAGGATTGACTGTATATTTAAGATATTTACAACGTAAATAGGAAGTAATTTTGGAGAAAACTAGCAAGAAATGGAAGTGGACTAGGAAAGACCTCTTACAAAACTTGGGATTAGAGCTCAGATTCTTAATTTCATCAAATATTTATCTCACTTGTTCCTTCCACACATCATGTGCAGTCACACACTTTGGCACATTTGTACACATCCTCTCTCCTCTGCCCCTATTCGCTAGGTCTGTCCCTTCTGCTACTTCTCTCTGCTTTTTCTTCTCTCTGCTTTTTCTTCTCTCTGTTTTGCTCTGTTTTCTGTAAGGTTCAGCAGTGGATTCACCAGCTAATAACTTCCATGGAGCAGCATCCTCTCACCATTTCCAATGACTGATTCTCTCCTCTGCACTCTCAGTCTTTTTTGTCTATATCATTCACCTGGTACTCTATACACAGTGCTTTGTTATATGGATATATATCCTGGCTCCCCAAATAGAAGGTAATCCTCTCAAGGATGACACAAGGAACAAAGGTCTGGAAAGGAATGAAGTATGGCAGGCCTGGGCCCTTCCTCAAAATGGAGATTCTTGCAGAAACTTGCTAATGGAATAAGGGGGCCAGCATGTTGAAGAGACCAGGGAAGAATGCCAAAGGGGAAGAGGGAACTTCCGAGGTAAGAAGGCAGCAAGAGTATGGTGGCAAAGCCTAAAGAGTCAGAAGCCAACCCAGGAGAGGAAGGAAAACTTTTTAATAATCTACCAATTACCCATTCAAAGTCATTTGTGTTCTCAAATGTTGATTTGCTTTTAAAGTAAGAAGTAAATTTACTTTTAAAACATAAAAGTAAATGGCATTGGACCTGAAAAAAAAAAAGCAGCTCCCTCTTGACTCAATTATATTTTAAGAGAACTCTCAAAAAAGCACAGAAAACATCTTAAAGTACTATCAATAACTCTATGTAAATAAGCCATGCATGTATGACTATTGTTTCAAATCTACAATTTATAACCTTGCTAAATTCCTGGAAGGCAAAGACCTTTCGGCCAACATTGTACCATCTGTGTGTGGGAATAAATATATATGTATGTATGCATGTATATGTATGTAAATATGTGTATGTATATATGTATGTATGTATATTACTCAAAAGCTAGTCCAGGGTTTTTGTGTTTACTAATACTGCTCCTTAAAACAATAATCAACAAGTATTCATTAAGCAATTATCACTTTTATTATTATTATTAAGATAGATATGGAGGATGCCCTGGTCCTATCCTTAATGTTAATTCTTCCAAAACAGACAAATTGGTTTTAACAGAAATGCATGCTAGATATAAATATATTCATGTTTACTGCTTTTTAAAAATTGCACCTTTTATCTTTAAATAGGACTGCCTTCCCCCATTTCCAACTCCTCCCTCACCCCAAATCCTTAACTCACATGGAGGGGTGGCAAGGAACTAAGGCTCTTAGAAACTCTGACTTCTATAGGTTGGAAAAGCATTGCCATATACACACACACATGCATGTACACACGTACACACACACAAGTGCACACACAAATTATACATTTGTATGTGTGTATATATATATATATGTATATACATACAGAGAGAGAGAGATACTTTTTCAAGCATGGGAGGGAGGACAAAAGGAATTGCATCATAAAGTAACCAATATACAAAAGAATATGCAGATTCAATAAAGACGTAGTTAAATTGAATATTTTCTTTGTCTTGTCTTTCATGTAAATGTATGCTCTTATTTCATAATGTCCCTTGCTCCCTGGCTGTGTGAAAATATAGGGAGAGGATAGGTGAACAATTTATGAATGAAAAAGAGATAGTGAGCAGTGTGGCATATATAATGGATAATTTCAATTACATTAAATTAAAAAGAGTTTGTATGAATAAAACAAATGTAGCCAAAATCAGAAGGGAAGCAGAAAATTGGAGGGGGGAATTTATAGAAAGATTCACAGATAAAGGTCTCATCTCTCAAAGTATAAAGAACTTTGTAAAATCTGTAAGAATACAGGTCATTCTCCAACTGATAAATGATCAAAGGATATGAATATGCAGGTTTCTGAAAAAATCAAAATAAATTGTAGCCATGTGAAAAAATACTCTAAATATTATTGATTAGAGAAATACAAATTAAAACAACCTTGAGATATCATTTTACACCTATGAGATTGGCTAAAATAATTGAAGGAGAAAGCAACAGATGTTGGAGAGGATGTAAAAAAATTGGGACACTAATTCACTATTGGTGAAACTGTGAATTGACCTAACCTTTTTGGAGAGCAATCTGGAATTACATCCAAAGAGTTATTAAACTGCCTATACCCTTTGATCTAGCAATACCACTACTAGATCTATTTCCCAAGATGATTAGGGAAAAAGGAAAAGAACCTATAAGTTCTAAAGTATTTATAGCAGCTCTTTGTGGTGGTAGAGAACTGGACATTGCAAGGATGCCCATCAGTTAGGGACTTGCTGAACAATTTATGATATATGATTGTGATGGAGTACTACTGTGCTATAAGAAATGATGAGCTTGGTGATCTTAGAAAAACATGGATAGACTTGCATAAAAGAATGAAAAGTGAAATGAACACAACCAAGAGAATATTGTATGCAGTAACAACAATATTGTTTTAGGAAAAACTTGGGGGGACTACGTCATTTTGACTATTATAAATACCCAAATTAACTATAAAGGACATATGAAGATACTATCTGCATCCAGAGAAAGAACTCATAAATAGAAGTATGTTTAGAATGTGTTTACATATACACAGGCACATTTGTGTCTGGTGGTAACTACCCTCTGGTGGGGAGGGAAGAAAAAAAGGATAGAAAAAGATATTTACATGGTAACTATTATATATTTAAAAAGAATAGCCAGTTGTACATAACAGATTTGCAGTTTCATGTACAATCATCTTTTTTCTATTCTACTGTTATGGAAATACTTGTTTTATTTCTTAAGTTCAGAATAAATAAATAAAAATTTTAAAAAAGAGAAAATACGTAGAGATATATTCAGTACTACTTACCATGTTTTCACTATACTTCTGGATTAAGTTATTTTACTCTCTTGTAAATCAATTATTTTATCAATTATTTTAAATGATCATGATAGCTTAGGATGGTGGTCATGAAGTTGATGCAAATTTTTTCCCCATTTACAAGTTTCCATTTTATAAATTTACTAAAACATCAACAAAATATTGGCTTCATAAAAAATATTCCAAATCAAGAGATTCCGTTCTATAGAAGCATAACCCCTGCTCTCTAGCACAAATAGCTTTTGGGAAGTTCGGAAAGACACTCACCCTCTCCAGGTTCCAGCATTCTCATGTGTAAATTGGATGAATTCAGTTTTCTCCTCCACCTCTATATTCCCTGTTTTGTGCTGCTGGGTGGGGCGATCTTTTAGTCCATTCTCCCCAGAGTTCGTCTCCCCTTCCCCGCCTCATATAGCAAAAAACCTAAGCCAAAATGCCTCTGCTTTCTCCCTACAGATAGCCAACTCCCCTCCCCAGGTCCTCACCCCCGCCTCCGAGCCCGTCTCTGTCTCATCCCTGTGCTTGAGTGGTCTTACCAGCCGTTCCATCAGCCAGAGGAGCGAACCCCCTACCCTCCAGGGTCTTGGAGGCTTCAGGAACTTCCAGGCTAAAGAGCTCAGGGGAAGCAAGCTCGGTCAGATTTAGCAGGCAGCACAAAAATACACAACAGCGCCTCCCAGAACAGAAAGGTTTCTTTCTTTCTTTCTTTCTTTCTTTTTTTTTTTGCCTGCTATAAATTGTATTTCTACTCTGTTCCATTGATCTACCTTTCTATTTCTTTGCCTTTTAATATAGTTCAAGATTTGGTACTGCTAAACCTTTTTCCTTTACATTTTTTATTAGTTCTTTTTATATTCTTGACTTTTCTTCCAAATGCATTTTATTATTTTTGGTAATTCAGTAAAATAATTTTTTGATAATTTGGTTGGGATGGAATTGAATATATGTTAGTTTAGGTAAAATTGTTATTTTTATTATATTGGCCTTGCCTACCCATGAACAATTAATATTTTTCCAATTATTTAAATCTGATTTTATTTTTATATAAAAGTTTTTTAAATTGCTTTAATTTTATCTTTGTTAGTAGTGAAATCACCCTTTTCATTTTTGATAGGAGTGGTTTGGGTTTCTCTTTTTAAAAAAAAAATCAAATTAGCCAATGGTTTGTCTATTTTATTGTTTTTTCACAAAACCAATTCCTAGTTTCATTTATTAATTCAATGATTTTTTAACACTCAATTTTACTAATTTCACCTTTTTTAGGATTTCCAATTTAATTGGGGATTTTTAGTTTGTTCTTTTACTAGTTTTTTTTAATTGCATACCCAATTCACTAATCTGCTCTTTCTTTTTTTTACTGATATGAGCATTTAAGGATATAACTTTTCCTCTGATCACTGCTTTTGCTGTATCTCATAAGTTTTAATGTTGTTTCATTATTGTCATTCTCTTTAATGAAATTTTTTATTTTTTTCTATGATTTGTTCTTTAACCCACTCATTCTTTAAGATTAAGTTGTTTAATCTCCAATTAGCTTTTAATCTGTTTCTGTGGTCCTTTATTAAATATAATTTTTATCATATTGTGATCTGAAAAGGACACTTTTAATATTTCTGCTTTTTTGCTTTTAACTATAAAATTTTTATGTCATAATATATGGTCAATCTTTGTAAAGGTGCCATGAACTGCTGAAAAAATGGTTTATTCTTTTCTATTTCCATTCAGTTCTCTCTAGATATCTCATATCTAGCTTATCTAAAATTCTATTCATTTCTTGACTTCTTTCTTACTTGTTGATTTTTTTGTTAGATTTATCTGGTTCTGAGATTAAAGACCCTTTCTCCCCACCCCACTTTTAAAGTACTACTATTTATCTCCACCTATATTTCATTTAAATTTTCTTTTAAAAATTTAGATGCTATAGTATGTGGTACATATAGGTTCAGTATTAATATTTCTTCATTGTCTATGGTATCTTTTATCAAAATGTAGTTACCTTGTTTATCTCTTTCAATTAAATCTATTTAAGCCATAATTTTGTCTGAGATCATAATTGCTACCCCTGCCTTTTTTGCATCAGCTAAAACATTATAAATTCTACTCCAACCCTCCATTTTAATTCTGTGTATCTCTCTTTCTTAAATGTGTCTCTTGTAAATAACATATTGTTAGATTCTGATTTTTAATCCATTCACTATCCATTCCCATTTTATGGGTGAGTTCATTCCATTCACATTCAAAGTTATAATTAATATTGTGAATTTCCCTCCATCTTATTTTTACTCACTATCATCTTTTTCAGCCTCTCTTGTTACCCTGTCCTTTTTACCTTTATTTTCTCATCTTACCCTCCTATTCCTTCTTTTACCCACTCCTCTGAGAGACCCTCCCTTTTCTTCTCCCACTACCCTCTTAAATCTTAATCTATACATCCTTCTAAAAGCCTTTTCCTGACCCTGTCCCCCAGTTCTTTCACCTCTCTACAAGTCCAGAAATCTACACTCCTCTAGATGTTTATATTGTTTCTTCTTCTATCTAGAGCCAATGAGAGTAAGGTTCCAACATTACCAGCCATTCACCCCCACCTGCTTTCTCTGTATCAGTTCTATCTTTCACATCCCATTTTATGAGATAATTGCTCCTTTTTTTAACCTTTTCCTACCCAATTTTGTTTTTTAGAATCACTTCATTATATATAACTCAGCCCCAATCTTTCTTTCATACTACCTTAGTAATGATGACAGTTTTAAGAATATTGACATGTTCACAGATAATAAACAGTTTGACCTTAATGAGTCTCTTTTAATTAGTCTTTAATATTTTCCTTATAGTTCTCCTGGTTCTTGTATATCGTATTTTCTATTGATTTCTATTCTTTGTGTCACAAATACCTGAAAGTCTTTCAGTTTGTCTAATGTCTATTTTTATTTTCATTTAAGAGTATGTTCAATTTTCCTGGTTAAGTTATTCTTGGTCAGAAATCCAGCTCTTTTGCTCTCTGAAATATTATGCTCCAAGATCTGTGGTCTTTTAGTGTAGAAGCTGCTTAGTCTTGTGAAATCCTGACTGCATCTCTGCAGTATTTAATTTTTTTTTCTTGTTCTTCGCAATATTTTCTCCTTAACCTGGGAGTTTTGAAACTTGGCTATAACATTCCTGTAAATTTTCCTCTTGGGATTGCTTTCAGGTGGTGAATGGTAGATTTTTTTCTATTTCTCTGTCATCCTCTTGTTCTAGAACTTCAGGGCAATTTTCCTTAATAATTTCTTGTAATATTGTACCTATATTTTTTATCACAACTTTCAAGTAGTCCTACAATTTTTATATTGTTTCTCCTCAATCTGTTCTCTAGATCAGCTGTTTTTCTAATGAGATGTTTCAGATTCTCTTCAAATTTTTTTTCTAATTTTATTACTACTTGGTATCTTATAATGTCATTTGATTCCTCTTGCCCAATTCTAGTTTTCAAGGAGTTGTTTTCTTCCTTAAGATTTTGGACCTCTTTTTCCAATTGGTTAACAATCTTTCCATAATTTTCTTGGGTTCCTTTTATTTTTTTCCCCTAATTTTCTCTTGCTCTCTCTTATTTGATTTTTAAGTTCCTTTTTAATTTCTTCAAAGAACTCTTGCTAGGCTTATGACAATTTGAAGTTATTCTTTGACGTGGGAGTGGCTTTTTTTTTAATCTATCTTCCCCTGAATATGAGCTCAGTTCTTTTACACCACAGTAGCTGTCTATAGCCAGGCTCCTTTTTTTTCTTTGCTTACTTATTTTTATTTCATTTTGTTTTATGTTATTTTTAGCAGCTTATTGTTATGTTCAGGTTTTAATCCCGAGTTGTGGGTAGTGTTGGCACCAGGTCTCAGGTCCTCCTTACTGTTATTTTCTGAATTCCATCCAGGTGCTCAACCTCAATCACTCCTTTCCTCCCCTAAGTCACAGTTATGCACATTTAGTGGGAGTATGGTTAGGTTCAGCCCTTGTAGAAAGGAATTTGGAATTGTGCCTCCAAAGTCACCAAACTTTTATAGTCTTTGATTCAGCAGTAACTAGGAATATACACCAACTAGGGAAAAGAAAGAGTGAAAAGATCCATACAAGCTAAAATATTTATTGGAGCAGCTTTTATTTGTAGCAAGGAACTAGAAACAAAGTGGGCATTCATAAATTGGAGACTGGCTAAACAAATTCTAGCATATGAATATGTTAAAATATTACCATGCCATGAGAAATAATGAAAAGGATGTATTAAGAGAAAACTTGGAGGACTTGTATGATTTTATGGAGAGTGAAGTGAGTAGAACCAGGAGAACAATTTATACAGTAATTTTAATATTATAAAGAAAACAACTGTAAAAGATGTAATAATATATATGATGATGATAAATACTCCCCACTTCTTGTCAGAGAGTTGACAGACCAAATTTGCAGGAACTATAATTTCATTCTTAATCTCTTGCTTAAATTTTTCATTTTTTGGAGTGCTAGGGACCAATCCATTTTCTTCCTTTTTTTGGACAAAAATATTTTTTAAAATATTTTAATTATAGAAAAAAATTGGAAATAAGGTGTTCATTAATCAAGAAGTGGTTGAATAAACCGTAGTATTCGAATATAATGGAATGTTACTGTGCTAAAAGAAATAATGAGCATGATGGACCCAGAGAAACTTAGGACAACCTGTATTTAACCTGCATCATGAAATGAACAGAACTGAGTGTAGTGATAGAGATGCAAAAAGAGAAAGAAAGGGGTATTAGTGGGTCTTGATAGAGACAAAGAAAAAGAAAAAAAGAAAACCGTCAATAAGACATTTGAAAATGCATAGGAGGGGCTTACTTAGATTCTTATAATCTAGCCACTACTTAGATTCTTAAAATCTAGCCACTGCTCAGATGCCTAAAATCCAGCCATGGCTCTGATTCTTATGATCTAGCCACTGCGTACTCATGTTCAGACTCCTTAGTCTGCCCAATATGATGGATGTCCTAATAAACCTTGTCTTTGGCTGAAAAAAAAAAAAAGAAAAGGCATAGAAGGAAACATAAGGAAACTAAGAATGGAATACAAACAAGGCAACTTTGTTACTCTGTATTAAATTTGATACATACTTCTTTTTAAAATGTACTGTACATAACTGAAGTTTACAATTTCATATATAATTCTCTTTTTTGTTCCCCTGGTCAAGAGATACCCTCCCACAAAGGAATAAGACTCCTAATCTGGCCTCATATGGACTGGTTTCAATCCTGGGTTTGAGGCTTTTATCAAAAATTTGTGGCTTGTTTTATAACCTTACTCTCAAGCACAAATCCAGGGAAATTCTCTAAAATAAAGCTTAGAGTTGTTTTCTAGAAAACCTACTTGATAAAGTAGATATAAGCAGCTATGTAGCAGAGTTGATAGAGTGCCTGACCTGGAGTAAGAAGATTCATCTTCTTGAGTTCAAATCTGGCCTCAGATACTTACTAGCTGGATGACCTTGGGCATGCCACTTCACCTCTGTTTGCTTCAGTTTCCTCATCTATAAAGGGGGATAATAATAGTACCTACCTCATGATCAAAGGAGATAAAAATCAAAAGTGCCAGGAATATAGTAGGTATATATAAATGTTAGTTATTTTTAGCATTATTATTAT